AACCTGCGGCACCAGGACGCTTTTCCTATAAATGACCGCACTTGCTTTACGTTCTTCGGTACCTTAATCCGAAGCATCGCCTCAACCTTCTCGGGATGTACGTGTAAACCATTCTTGTCCACCACGTACCCCTAATACTTCAACTAAGACCTACAAAAATTACACTTGTTCCTATTTAATCTAAGCCCTTCTTAACACGATTTGTGACGATAATGATATCATCCAAATACACAACCACATGAGGTTCTAGCTGTGGTCCTATGACCGAATCTATAAATAATGCCAAGTTGCCGGTGCATTAAACAGTATGGCATCCTCTTAAACTGAAATAGGTGTCTAGGTGTCTAGGTGTCTGGGACCGTAAACGCTGTGAAGTGCCTACACTGCTCCTCCATAGGAATTTGCCAATAGGCGGACTTTATGTCCAGACTGGACAAAAACTTGGCGTCCCTTAGCTTATCTAAGGTCGCCGAAAGGTATGGCAGGGGGTAGCTATCCTTTTAGGTACATTTATTCAAAACCCTATAAGCTAAACAAATCCCATATGTACCGTTTCTCTTCCTGATCTTTAGAACTGGAGACGCCCAAGGATTTTGTGATATCTTTATTACCCCTTTATCGAGCATATCCGTAACCTTCACGTTCATACGCGACTGCATGACGGGAGACACTGGGTATTAACGCTGTTTCTCTGGTTCAACTCCTGTCTTTACCCTGACCTTGTGCTCGACCAAATGGATCCGGCCTATCCCCTCCAGCATAGCCTGGAACGCACCAGCTATTAAATGATTTAATGCCCTAGACTCTCTATCGCCTAACTCGGAGTGGTCCACTATTGCCACCAATGGTTCTGGTTCCGGCCAAGAAGACCACCACCTCATTTTCGATATATCCGGGATAATTCCCGCCTTGGCCCAAAAATCGATGCCGAGAATTACGCACTGAGGTAACTCGGGAACCACGAGGCATTCCAGAAGAACCCAGTTTCCTTGGGTCAAACCGCGTATCTCGCTCAACTCCTCAACCCGTTCTAAAAGTGCGAAAAGCGACATACTAGCTTCTTCGCCGTCAAAGGCGACGTCCCACTTTGACAAAATCATCGGCTTCTGAGACTCCGCTGTCTCCTCAACCAAGTGTCTCGACGGGCGGGGGTGCTATCGGGTCTGAAACCGACACAGTTAAATTTTCTACCTCCTCCAGTTTCGATTCGACCGCCGTGTTATCCTCGTCGAAACTGAAGGGGTAGTCTTAGAAGAGGTTTACCGAACCTCTTCGCTCAATTAATCGCGATGCCCTGTGCGACTTACACATGGCTACAACCGTACCGACTGGAAGACCGCGTGCCTCTATCTCGTACGCGAGCTCATCCTGCGCCAAAAAAGTTTAGTTATAATAAAAATTAAAAATTGAAATTTATTTATTCTAATGTAATTTTCGCGTTGCCCTTTACTGGCACAACAAAAGACCCTGTCACGAAAACAACAATAGAGCCTAACCACAAGTAACAAAAAGGTTAATAAAGGAAAAAACAAATATTTCTTACTTTGACAACACAACTTCAAAAGAAAAATATTCAGTTTAATTAAAAATTACGAACAATTTTTTATTTTATGAACATTACAAAAAAAAAAACGATTTAATTCGTCAGGCCTACTACTGGCTACTTTCGGACCATTTTCTACTCTCTTCTATGCAATATACCGCAACAAACAAACTAAAACAGAAAAATTTTGCAACCGGAACGGATTCACCGAATTCCGTTGCACTATGTACAGACCAGTTATATCTCCTCTGGGCTTGGGTTCAACTCGCAATCTTTTCTAACCCTTCCACTCGTGGAATACCATGCTACTAACTTACTTGTTAGTAATTGAAAAAAAAAAAAAAACAACATAACAAAACGACACTGCAGAAATAAGACCACACAATTTTTAAAGCTCAATCTCTTTTTCAAAATATATATATCTTTAAATTTTGGACCCCTCGTTGGGCGCCAATTTGTCACCTCCATTTTTTGTAATGACGTATGAACATACGCACATACATATGTATACCTATAGTGGCTGTTAGTCAAGCGAATACCAACTACACATGTCAACAAAGTAAACTACCGCACAAAAAGTAGATGATAAAAAGCTAACAAAAGACCGGCGTGAATCGATAGCTATACACAACAACAAAACTACTTGCAAAGAAAAACAAAACCAAGCAAAACTTTCTAACGCGTGACAAATCAAAACCATGTGTATATGTATGTATATACAATAAATAAAGAAAATATGTTTTTCGGGTGCACCCGAGGTGTGGTCCCACCAAAATGGTTACGAACCCTCACGCACTACTCTCGTGTTGCCGGGGGTAACTTAAACCCGCCTGTATGACTGAGCTCTGGGTGCGGGATGCTATAGGGATGGGAAAGGACGTAACGAGGGCGGTGACACTGTCGGCACGACAAAAATGTACCAAACAATAAACAGTCATCGTGATACGCGGTCGGGTGTGCGCCCCGACTTTGGTGCTCCTCCGGTGCTGCCGTCCAAGCCCCGATTCCACCACAGAAATACAAAAAAACCTATTTTGCTCTCGGCTTCGACTACCCTTGAAAAAACCCCGTCTGGGTAAAAACTTTCGCTATATGCCTCGTCTGACACACAACACTATAATATTTATTTATTTTCCTAAAACAACTCAATTCGCAGGCCTGCGTAAAAAATATACGTTCGCTCTTTCGTAGATAGCTAGAATCTGATCCAGCTCGCACTTACGAGCCAGGCCGCAAGCTACGCGTCGGCCTTCAAAACTCTTCTGTGAGTGTGTATTGGTGCCCAATCATTTGGCGCTATCCTCATTACCCAAAGGGACCAGATTGTAAAGCGCACGCCACCACGCCACACCAAGTATACTGGGATAATTTTCCCCTCGCCGAATTAAAGGAAAAAGGCAATACCCCTATTTACGAAACCCCCTCGCAAAGCATTCCGTTGCCCTAATAATTGTTAGTGGAAGAACCGTTTTGGGGAACACCCCCTTTTGGAGACTTATATCACTTGGTAGGCGCACACCGAATGCAACCATGCTATCAATCCATGGCTTCAAATAAAACAACTATATGCCGACACATGTCACTGCCAACGCTTGGAATGAAAGGAAGATTAGGCAAAACAAAGGAAATGAACAAACAAACGCAAAAGAAGCTTTTGTTGCGGTCAGTACGCGACAACTCCGCCCCTTCATCAACGAAAACGAAGGAACCTTCCTTTTGGTCAGGGAGCGGAAATCTCCTCTCATAACCTATTGATCCCTATATGACCTCAACTCCTTAACGTTCCAAGTCCATTTGTCTTTGCCTAAGTCATCTGTTAGTGCGTATGTCTACGGTGACACTCTTCCTAGCAATAAACGGCCCTACATACTTTGGGGCTATATTTGCCGCTACATCCGACAGCATAAAATTTTTCCTCCTGACTAACTCTCCTGGCATGAACTGCACATCTCGACGTCTGAGAATTTACTGCTTCGCAAGCATCTCACTCGCCTGCTCTAACCTAGTTCTAACGTTTGCCCCAATCTCTTCGAGTCTTTTTATTCGTTCCTGACAATTTAATTTCTCCTGATCTCCTAAACTGTCTATGAAATCCCTTCTGGCTTCTGGCGCCTTTTGCCTGCCAAAATTCACAAAACATGGCGTAGCTCCTAACACTTCGTTCTGCGTTGTTTTAATGCAGCATGCTACCTCCGCTAACTGTTGGTCCCATGTCCTCTGATTCTCTGATACGTAAGCCCTAAGAGTTGTCTTAATAATTTTGTTAATCTTCTCGGCCGGATTAGCCTGTGGATGCTCGTGTTCGGAGTACCGGGGTTGGACGCCTTACTCGACTCCTAAATTGGGGTCCATTGTCACACACAACCTACCGAGGGTCTCCAAACAATAGAAATACATTGTCCTCCAATTGTTTGCATACGGTTTTTGCCGTGGCAAAGGAAGAGAAGGTTAAATTTGGAAAAATAATCCACTGTGGTTAAACTATACTGGTAGCCTTGTGACGACTTCTCTAAAGGCCCTACCAGATCTACACAAAAATTTTGTTAATCTTCTCGGCCGGATTAGCCTGTGGATGCTCGTGTTCGGAGTACCGGGGTTGGACGCCTTACTCGACTCCTATATTGGGGTCCATTGTCACACACAACCTACCGAGGGTCTCCAAACAGTAGAAATACATTGTCCTCCAATTGTTTGCATACGGTTTTTGCCGTGGCAAAGGAAGAGAAGGTTAAATTTGGAAAAATAATCCACTGTGGTTAAATTATACTGGTAGCCTTGTGACGACTTCTCTAAAGGCCCTACCAGATCTACACAAATCATTTCCCAAGGCTCGAATGCCTTGGTCCTCTCTATCATACCCCAGCTGGCTATGAATTCTCAGGTTTCACCTGTTGACAAGTTATATGCACCCTTACATATTTTGGAATGTCTGGCTTCATACTTGGCCAGTAGAACTTTTGTGAAACACGTGCAAAAGTCTTCTTCACACCCATGTGGCCTGCAAACGGACTGTCGTGACATTGTTTCAGAATCTCATTTCTACCATCACGCCCTATTACTCTTTTCCACTCTGGCGAATCGCCGTAAACCAAAGAAAATCTTGACCTAACGAACTTGCAAAGGTTGCCACATTCAACTCTCCACGCTGGATACGACAGAGGCTTTTTCTCTACCAGCTGGATCATCCTTGCCAACCAAGGATCGGCAGTAGTCACCTCAGCAATAACTGACACACTTCGGGATAGCATATATGGAACCACATGTTCCTTGTCTTTCCGATACACCATATCTAAACCATATTGCTGGAGCTTCAAAGGCCATCTCGCTAACCTACCACCCGGATCCTTCTACTTATTCAAAACTTATTCAACCAAATAATATGAATAATGATCAGGGACGACCGTAAACTTAGCTCCCTCAATATATGGTCGTAGTTTCTCAACCGCCCACAGAACCGCTGGACACTTCTCTCGGGTCGTCGAATAGTTTCGCTCTCCTTTGTTCAAGGATCTACTCAAATAAGCTATCTTCCTCTCACCGTCATCAAACATTTGAGTTAACATCGCACCTACACCGAAATCAGACGTGTCTGTCTGGATTGTGAAAGGTCTATCGAAATCCTGACAACTCAAAACCGGAGCTCTCACCAAGCGCTCTTTCGCTTCTCTAAAACTCTTTTCACAATCTTCAGTCGAATTGAACTTTCCATTTTTCTTTGTTAAATCGGTGAGAGGCCAATTAATTAGGCCTCTTTAACAAACCTGCGGCACCAGGACACTGTTCCTATAATTGACCGCACTTGCTTTACGTTCTTCGGCACCTTAATCCGAAGCATCGCCTCAACCTTCTCAGGATGTACGTGTAGACCGATTTTGTCTACCACGTACCCCAAATACTTCAACTAAGACTTACAAAAATTACACTTGTTCCTATTTAATCTAAGCCCTTCTCAAAATGATTTGTGACGATAATGATATCATCCAAATACACAACAACATGAGGTTCTAGCTCTGGTCCTATGACCGAATCTATAAATCATGCCAAGTTGCCGGTGCATTAAACAGACCGTATGGCATCCTCTTCAACTGAAATTGGTGTCTAGGTGTCTGGGACCGTAAACGCTGTGAAGGGCCTAGACTGCTCCTCCAGAGGAATTTGCCAATAGGCGGACTTAATGTCCAGACTGGCCAAAAACTTTTTACCCCTCTATCGAGCATATCCGTAATCTCCACGTCAATATACGACTGGATGACGGGAGACACTGGGTAATAACGCTTTTTCACAGATTCAACTCCTGTCTTTATCCTGATCTTATGCTCGACCAAATGGGTCCGGCCTAGCCCTCCCGGCATAGCCTGGAATACACCAGCTATTAAATGATTTAATGCCCTAGACTCTCTATCGCCTAACTCGGAGTGGTCCACTATTGCCACCAATGGTTCTGGTTCCGGCCAAGAAGACCACCACCTCATTTTCGAAATATCCGGGATAATTCCCGACTTGGCCCAAAAATCGATGCCGAGAATTACGCACTGAGGTAACTCGGGAACCACGAGGCATTCCAGAAGAACCCAGTTGCTCTCCACCTTGATTGGCAACAAAACCGAACCTAACATCGAGATATGACCTCCATTCGCGAGAGTCACTCTCAAAAAATTGGAAAGAAAATTCACCGTAATACCATACGCGCTTCTGGTCGCACCAGAAGTCGACAAAGCCCTAAGAGCAAAACCATGGATCTTAACATTCAAATAAGGGCGTTCGTCGTGACCGTACGGCACCAACTTAAACGCCAAACCTAACTTCTTCAAACTCAACACCTACATTAGCAGGTTCACTAGCTCGCCCTATTAGACCGCCTTTCCTACAAACAGGTCTACCGCGCCGCGGAAAAAAAAGCCTTGGGTCAAACCGCGTGCCTCGCTCAACTCCTCAGCCCGTTCTAAAAATGCGAAAAGCGACATACCAGCTTCTTCGCCGTCAAAGTTGACGTCTCACTTTGACAAAATCACCGGCTTCTGAGACTCCGCTGTCTCCTCAACCACGTGTCGTATCTCGACGGGAGGGGTGCTATCGGGTCTGAAACCGAAACAATTAAATTTTCTACCTCCTCCAGTTTCGATTCGACCGCCGTGTTATCCTCGTCGAAACTGAAGGGGTAGTCTTAGAAGAGGTTTACCGAACCTCTTCGCTCAATTAATCGCGATGCCCTGTGCGACTTACACATGGCTACAACCGTACCGACTGGAAGACCGCGTGCCTCTATCTCGTACGCGAGCTCATCCTGCGCCAAAAAATTTTAGTTATAATAAAAATTAAAAATTTAAGTTTATTTATCCTAATGTTATTTTCGCGTTGCCTTATACTGACACAACAAAAGACCCTATCACGAAAACAACAATAGAGAACAACAAGTAACAAAAAGGTTAATAAATATTTCCTACTTTGACAACACAACTCCAAAAGAAAAATATTCAATTTGAATAAAAAGTGCAAGCAATATTTTTTATTCATGAACATTACAAAAAACACTATTTTATTCGTTAGGACTACTACTGGCTACTTTCGGACCATTTTCTACTCTCTAGACGGTATAATGCTTCTATGCAATATACCGCAACAAACAAACTTAAACAGAAAAATTTTGCAACCGGAACGGATTCACCGAATTCCGTTGCACTATGTACAGACCAGTTATATCTCCTCTGGGCTTGGGTTAAACTCGCAATTTTTTCTAAACCTTCCACTCGTGGAATACCATGCTACTAACTTACTTGTTAGTAATTGTTAAAAAAAAACAACATAACAAAAGGACACTGCAGAAATAAGACCACACAATTTTTTTAAGCGCAACCTCCTTTGCAAAATAAATAAATATATCTTTAAATTTTGGTCCCCTCGTTGGGCGCCAATTTTTCACCTCCATTTTTTGTAATGACGTATGAACATACGCACATACATATGTATACCTAAAGTGGCTGTTGGTCAAGCGAATACCAACTACACATGTCAAAAAGTAAACTACCGCACAAAAAGTAGATGATAAAAAGCTAACAAAAGACCGGCCAGCTTAATGAAGACGGCGTGAATCGATAGCTATACACAACAACAAAACTACTTGCAAAGAAAAACACAACCAAGCAAAACTTTCTAACGCGATAAACGAAAATTGCGTGACAATAATAATTCGACTACAGATCAAAACCATGTGTATATGTATGTATATACAATAAATAAAGAAAATATGTTTTTCGGGTGCACCCGAGGTGTGGTCCCACCAAAATGGTTACGAACCCTCACGCACTACTCTCGTGTTGCCGGGGGTAACTTAAACCCGCCTGTATGACTGAGCTCTGGGTGCGGGATGGGTAAGGATGTAACGAGGGCGGTGACACTGTCGGCACGACAAAAATGTACCAAACAATAAACAGTCATCGTGATACTCGGTCGGGTGTGCGCCCCGACTTTGGTGCTCCTCCGGTGTTGCCGCCCAAGCCCCGATTCCACCACTGAAATACAAAAAAAAACCTATTTTGCTCTCGGCTTCGACTGCTTTTAAAAAAGCCCCGTCTGGGTTAAAACTTTCGCTATTTGCCTCGTCTGGCACACTACACTATAATATTTATTTATTTTCCTAAAACAACTCAATTCGCAGGCCTTAATCAATCAACTCAATTCAAATGGTTACGAACCCTCACGCACTACTCCCGTGTTGCCGGGGGTAACTTAAACCCGCCTGTATGACTGAGCTCTGGGTGCGGGGTGCTATAGGGATGGGTAAGGATGTAACGAGGGCGGCGACACTGTCGGCACGACAAAAATGGACCAAACAATAAACAGTCATCGTGAAACTCGGTCGGGTGTGCGCCCCGACTTTGGTGCTCCTCCGGTGTTGCCGTCCAAGCCCCATTCCACCACTGAAATAAAAAAAAACCTATATTGCTCTCGGCTTCGACTGCTTTTAAAAAAGCCCCGTCTGGGTTAAAACTTTCGCTATTTGCCTCGTCTGGCACACTACACTATAATTATTATTTATTTTCCTAAAACAACTCAATTCGCAGGCCTGTGTAAAAAATATACGTTCGCTCTTTCGTAGATTGCTGTAATCTGATCCAGCTCGCACTTACGAGCCAGGGCGCAAGCTACGCGTCGGCCTTCAAAACTCTTCTGCGATTGTGTATTGGTGCCCAATCATTTGGCGCTATCCTCATTACCCAAAGGGACCAGATTGTATAGCGCACGCCACCACGCCACACCAAGTACACTGGGATAATTTTCCCCTCGCCGAATTAAAGGAAAAAGGCAATACCCCTTTTTACGAAACCCCCTCGCAAAGCATTCCGTTGCCCTAATAATTGTTAGTGGAAGAACCGTTTTGGGGAACACCCCCTTTTGGAGACTTATATCACTTGGTAGGCGCACACCGAATGCAACCATGCTATCAATCCATGGCTTCAAATAAAACAACTATATGCCGACAGATGTCACTGCCAACGCTTGGAATGAAACGAAGATTAGGCAAAACAAAGGAAATGAACAAACAAACGCAAAATAAGCTTTTGTTGCGGTCAGTACGCGACAACTCCGCCTCTTCATCTGTCTCATATATATATCTTTAAATTTTGGACCCCACGTTAGGCGCCAATTTGTCACCTCCACTTTTCCTTGTGACGTATGACCATACGCACATACATATGTATACCTAAAGTGGCTGTTGGTCAAGCGAATACCAACAACTACACATGTCAACGAAATAAACTTCCGCCCCAAAAGTAGATAACAAAAAACTAACAAAGCGACCGGCCAGCTTAATGAAGACGGCGTGAATCGATATCTATACACAACAACAAAATTACTTACAAAGAAAAACAAAACCAAGCAAAACTTTCTAACGCGATAAACGAAAATTGCGGGACAATAATAATTCGACTACAGATCAAAACCATGTGTATATGTATGTATATACAATAAATAAAGAAAATATGTTATTCGGGTGCACCCGAGGTGTGGTCCCACCAAAATGGTAACGAACCCTCACGCACTACTCCCGTGTTGCCGGGGATAACTTAAACCCGCCTGTATGACTGAGCTCTGGGTGCGGGATGCTATAGGGATGAGTAAGGACGTAACGAGAGCGGTGACACTGTCGGCACGACAAAAATGTACAAACAATAAACAGTCATCGTGATACTGATGGTTCTCGGTCGGGTGTGCTCCCCGACTTTGGTGCTCCTCCGGTGGTGTCGCCCAAGCCCCGATTCCGCCACTGAAATACAAAAAAACCTATTTTGCTCTCGGCTTCGACTGCCCTTAAACAAGCCCCGACAGGGTTCAAACTTTCGCTATTTGCCTCGTCTGGCACACTACACTATAATATTTATTTATTTTTCTGAAACAACTCAATGCGCAGGCCTGCGTAAAAAATATATGTTCGCTCTTTCGTAGATTGCTAGAATCTGATCCGGCACGCACTTACGAGCCAGGCCACAAGCTACGCGTCGGCCTTCGAAATTCTCCTGCGAGTGTGTATTGGTGCCCAATCATTTGGCGCTGTCCCCATTACCCAAGGGGACAGATAGCGAACGCCACCACGGCACACCAAGTAAACTGGGATAATTTTCCCCTCGCCGTATTACAGGAAAAAGCAATACTCCGGAATACCCGCGCAAAGCATTCCGTTGCCCTAATTGTAAGTGGAAGAGCCGTTTTGGAGAACACCCCCTTTTGGAGACGTATACCACTGGGTAGGCACACACTGGATGCAACCGTGGTATCTATCCATGTCTTCAAATAATGCAACTATTTGCCGACAGATGTCACTGCCATCGCTTGGAATGAAAGGAAGATTAGGCAAAACAAAGGAAATGAACAAACAAACGCAAAATAAGCTTTTGTTGCGGCCAGTACGCGACAACTCCTCCCCTTCATCAACGAAAACGAAGGAACCTTCCTTTTGGTCAGGGAACGGAAATCTCTCATAACCTTTTGATTCCTATATGGCCTCAACTCCTTAACGTTCCAAGTCCACTTGTCTGCCTAAGCCATCTGTAAGTGCGTATTTCCACGGTGACACCCTTCTTAACAATAAACGGCCCTACATACTTTGGGGCTATATTTGCCGCTTAATAATTCGCTACATCCGACAGCATAGAATTTTTCCTCCTGACTAACTCTCCTGGCATGTACTGCACATCTCGACGTCTGAGAGTTTACAGCTTCGCAAGCTTCTCACTCGCCTGCTCTAACCTAGTACTAACGTTTGCTCCAATCTCTTCGAGTCTTTTTATTCGTTCCTAACAATTTAATTTCTCCTGATCTCCTTAACTTTCTATGAAGTCCCTTCTGGCTTCTGGCGCCATTTCCCTGCCAAAATTCACAAAATATGGCGTAGCTCCTAATACTTCGTTCTGCGTTGTTTTAATGCAGCGTGCTACCTTCGCTAACTGTTGGTCCCAGTCCTCTGATTCTCTGATACGTAAGCCCTAAGAGTTATCTCAATGATTTTGTTATTCTCCTCGGCCGGATTAGCCCGTGGGTGCTCGTGGGCAGTGTAGCCACCGTAGAGGCCCTAAGCTCTCGACTCCTAAATTGGGGTCCATTGTCACACACAACCTACCGAGGATCTCCAAACAATAGAAATACATTGTCCTCCAATTGTTTGCATACGGTTTTTGCCGTGGCAAAGGAAGAGAAGGTTAAATTTGGAAAAATAATCCACTGGGGTTAAACTATACTGGTAGCCTTGTGACGGCGTCACTCGAGGCCCTACCAGATCTACACAAACCATCTCCCAAGGCTCGAGTGCCCTGATCCTCTCTATCATACCCCCAGCTGGCTGTGAATTTTCAGGTTTCACCTGTTGAAAAGTTTTATACACCCCAACATATTTTGGAATGTCCGGCTCTATCCTTGGCCAGTAGAACTTTTGTGAAACACGTGCAAAAGTCTTCTTCACACCCATGTGGCCTGCAAACGGACTGTCGTGACATTGTTTAAAAATTTCATTTCTACCATCACGTCCTATTACTCTTTTCCACCCTGGTGAATCACCGTAAACCGAAGAAAATTTCGACCTAACAAACTTGTAGAGATTGCCGCCTTCAACTCTCCACACTGAATACGACAGAGACTTTTTTCTCTATCAGCCGAATTATCCTTGCCAACCGAATCGGTAGTAGTCACCTCAGCAATAACTAGCACACTTCGGGATAGCATATATGGAGCCACATGTTCCTTGTCTTTCCGATGCACTATATTTAAACCATATTGCTGGAGCTTCAAAGCCCATCTCGCTAACCTACCACCCGGATCCTTCAACTTATTCAACCAAATAAGTGAATAATGATCAGGGACGACCGTAAACTTAGCTCCCTCAATATATGGTCGTAGTTTCTCAACCGCCCACAGAACCGCTGGACATCCTCTCGGGTCGTCTAATAGTTTCGGTCTCCTTTGTTCAAGAACCTACTCAAATAAGCTATCACCCTCTCACCGTCATCAAACATTTGAGTTAACACCGCACCTACACCGAAATCAGACGCGTCTGTTTGGATTGTGAAAGGTCTATCGAAATACTGACACCAAGCGCTCTTTCTTTTCTCTAAAACTCCTTTCGCAATGTTCAGTCCAATTGAACTTTCGATTTTTCTTTATTAAATCGGTGAGAGGCCTTACTAATTCTGCAAAATCTTTAACAAACCTGCGGCACCAGGCCACTGTTCCTTCGGTACCTTAATCCGAAGCATCGCCTCAACCTTCTCAGGATGTACGTGTAGACCGATTTTGTCTACCACGTACCCCAAATACTTAAACTAAGACCTACAAAAATTACACTTGTTCCTATTTAATCTAAGCCCTTCTCAAAATGATTTGTGACGATAATGATATCATCCAAATACACAACAACATGAGGTTCTAGCTCTGGTCCTATGACCGAATCTATAAATCATGCCAAGTTGTCGGTGCATTAAACAGACCGTATGGAATCCACTTAAACTGAAATTGGTGTCTAGGTGTCTGGGACCGTAAACGCTGTGAAGGGCCTAGACTGCTCCTCCAGAGGTATTTGCCAATAGGCGGACTTAATGTCCAGACTGGACAAAAACTTGGCGTCCCTTAGCTTATCTAAGGTCGCCGAATCGTCGGTACATTTATTCAAAACCTTATAATCTTAACAAAACCCATATGTGCCGTCTTTTTTCCTGATCATTAGAACTGTAGATGCCCAAAGACTATGTGATTTCTCTATTACCCCTCTCTCGAGCATATCCGTAATCTCCACGTCCATACGTGACTGCATGACGGGAGACACTGGGTAATATCGCTGTTTCACAGGTTCAACTCCTGTCTTTACCCTGATCATATGCTCGACCAAATGGGTCCGGCCTAGCCCTTCCGGCATAGCCTGGAACACACAAGCCATGATATGTCCTAATGCCCTAGACTCTCTAGCGCCTAACTCGGAGTGGTCCACTATTGCCACCAATGGTTCTGGTTCCGGCTAGGAAAACCACCACCTCACTTTCGATATATCCGGGATAATAATCGCCTTGGCCCAAAAATCGATGCCAAGAACTACGCAACGAGGCATTTCAGGAGAACCGACTTGCTCTCCCCCTCGATTGTCAACAAAACCGAACCTAACACCGAGATATGACCTCCATACGTGAGAGTCACTCTCAAACAATTGGAAACACAATTCACCCTAATACCATACGCGCTCAGTTTTTGCCAACCTAGCCGACCTATTACTGTTCTGGTCGCACCAGAAATCGACAAAGCCTTAAAAACAAAACCATGGATCTTAACATCCAAATAAGGGCGTTCGTCGTGACCGTCCGTCACCAACTAAAACGCCAAACCTAACTTCTTCAAACTCAACACCTACATTAGCCCGCTGGGAGGTAGCAGGTTCACTAGCTCGCCCTATTAGACCGCCTTTCCTACAAACAGATCTACCGTACCCGCGGAAAAAATAGGCTTGGGTCACACCGCGTGCCTTGCTTAACTCCTCAACCCGTTCTATAAATGCGAAAAGCGACATACCAGCTTCTTCGCCGTCAAAGTCGACGTCCCACTTTGACAAAATCACCGGCTTCTGGGACTCCGCTGTCTCCTCAACCGTATCTCGACCGGCGGGGTTGCTATCGGGTCGGGAGACCGACGCATTTAAATTTTCAACCTCCTAGTCGTAACTGAAGGGATAGTCTTAGAAGAGGTTTACCGAACCTCTTCGCTCAATTAATCGCGATGCCCTGTGCGACTTACACATGGCTACAACCGTACCGACTGGAAGACCGCGTGCCTCTATCTCGTACGCGAGCTCATCCTGCGCCAATCGGTTAATTTCCACATTAATATTTAAAAAAAAAACACAAACTCGATAAAACGAACAAGTTATAATAAAAATTAAAAATTGAAATTTATTTATTCTAATGTAATTTTCGCGTTGCCCTTTACTGGCACAACAAAAGACCCTATCACGAAGAAGATCTCGTCGATCTTCCCCTGGAGTCAGTTGCATTCAATTTGTTGGTGGGAGTCATGCTGGGGGAAGCTCCCGTGAGACCGTAGAGGTCTGTTGGTTACCCAATGTGGGTAAAGATGCTGAAGGCACTTCCGTGGAGGTAAGGGGCTTACTTGGGCGTTGGGCAATACATTGCATTGGTTGCACCTAACCAAGGTGGAGGAATGGTGGAGTCTTTTCTGGCACACGCAGCAGAAATAATCCGTCGGACGATGGTTGGCCTCAACGCCAGCCCTGATAAGAAGTATTTTTCGAGGTGTTGCTCCGTTGGCGAACTTAAGTTAATGTTACCTGTTGACATAAAAAGACCAAGCGATGGTGTGTGTCGTTGTTGTTCTTATAACATGAGTTCTGATTATTAATAAAATTTACTAAGATTTCTACGTTCTATTTTACTACAATTTTGTCGCTATTCATTACCGCGGTTCCGCTCAGCAACCATATATTTGCTGACATCCCTGCAGGAAGGCTACCGATCATTTGAACCAACAAATGTTAGGAATGCGTGTGCATTTTTGTAATTCTTTTCGGACAAGCAGAACATAGCTGAGCGACAGCATTGATACCAAAAGAAAACAATGTGGACGTCGAAAACAGCAGCAGCATTGATGTCGAAGGAAATCAGCCTTGACAAAACTTTTTTATATATATGTATACATTATTAAGATCCAGTGCATATTTCAATATTTAACATAAATCATGTAAATGGTTTACATAGCATACAAAAAATAGCAAAATATTTTAAACAAAACCGCATATACAAAAGTCTTTAATAGTGACGCAGCCACTCAGCTCCACTAACGACTCCGTCATAATCGCAGCTCCTTTGAAGTATAAAGACGTCTAAGTAAAATTAAAAAATTATTTTCGAATCATAACGTTGTTATTATCGTAATGCAGATGTACCTCGCAAAGTTTTGTTGAATAATTTTGAGATGTGCTGCTGCTGCAAGATGGAAAGCGTCCATTTTACTCGACTTGCTCCATTAACAGAATTTTCCGTACTATATGGAGTGCAATGTAAAGAGTTATGAAATATGAAGTAGTTAATTGATCGGCAATATATTATTACCACAGCTTGTACAGGATCCTCGTCATATATTTTTCACTTCTATCTGCTGCCTAGAAAACAATAAAAAATGTCGTTCTACTCGAAAATAAAAACAAAAAAAATCGGATAATCCGCCTCAGCCCGTTCTTGCCACAGCTTGTACAGGATCCTCGTCATATATTTTTCACTTCTATCTGCTGCCTAGAAAACAATAAAAAATGTCGTTCTACTCGAAAATAAAAACAAAAAAAATCGGATAATCCGCCTCAGCCCGTTCTTGCCTAATGCTGCAACTACCCATTTCACTTACCAGCCGTCCATAAGTGGCGACGAAAAGGCGAGATAAACACACGAGTTATCGACGCCGCTGAGAGCGGCGAAATGTTGCCAGCTGCCTGTGTGTTTGCACACTTTTCAACAAATTCATAATTTTCATCAACAAATTTCATAATTTATTTGCTTGAACATAAACAAAAGGCAAATATACATGATCTTAATGATAACAAATAATTAGTTACGCATTTATTTATTTTTTATTACTTTTAAACAAAACTAAGCTTTATCTTCGATTATTTAATGTTACTTTAAGAAAGGTTGCCAGTATACCTTGTATAGCAACGAAAAATGAGCCGAGCCGGTTTTACGGAAAAAATCAAAACTTCGTTGGTTTCTGCGGAACAACCGTCATTAACGGAATGGGCAAGCGGTGATAACTTTGAGTTCACATGGCGCTCTCATAAGATAGGTTACTATAAACGGCTGGTACGCGCGTTGCAGCCTTACTCAGAACACTACAACCTTGCCCTTAGACTGAGTTTACATGAGAATACTTTTGTTGCTAAATATCGTAATTTTCTTTTTTGTGTCGCCATCCACGTTCATCAGAGACATTTTCTTCAAACAATATTTTTGACATTTGTTTCTTATTTTTTTTCTTTTCCGCTTTATTTCACACTCGCAATTTTTCGTTCGCTTCTCGCTTTTTAATGTTAAAAGGGAACGCCTTCATTTATAGATACAAATAAAAACACAAAACGTGTCGAACGAGCACAGCAAAACGGTGCCCTGTCGCCTTCGTCGTCGCCTCTCCCCTACAAACCAGTGTTTTGTCGACAAATGTATCTCCGTGTAAACTCGGACTTAAAAAGAAAAATTATTTATTCTGCGAAGGGAAGTAGATATTCAGTCACTGTCCAATGATTTCTTTTCAAAGGCTGTGGCAGTATGGGGTTGAGAATATTTGTTTCGTCTTTTGAAGTTCACATATGTTATGCATTAGTTTATTTCCAAATCCTGTACTTCTTGATTTTAAATTTTGTATATCTCCGTATTTTAAGGTTAACTGTTCAACTAATATAGTCGCTCTCGTTTCCGATCCTTTATTTTCAATGGGATGTGCAGTAACTTATTAACAGGCCTATTCTGTCGAGGTAGCAAAATTTACATAGGTATTAAAATTTACCATTCAGTAAATTTTGTTCCCATTTCGTATTCTGAGCTCACTGTTACCCTGTAAATTTTGTTACCAGCGAAATAAGAGGTAACAAAAATATCTGCTATTTGATTTTGTGTTGTAAGTTTGTAAAAAAATAAAAAACCAAAATGGGTAGGCATATTTTAGGCCTGGAATTCATTGCGGATGAAGAAAAAAGTGCAAAAACCGTATTTTAAGAAAATTTCGAGACCAAAAATATCCCTTTAATTTGTAATATAACGTTTTTCTTCAGCTTTTTTGTAGTCCAGGCATATTTTCCATAATAAGGTTCAAATATTTATGATTTAATAAACAAATTAATAAACTTGTGTGTCTGTGTCTCGAATGTATTTGTTGTTGTTGTAGCTGGGGACTAGTCTAGTTTTACCAGCTACAGTATCCAGACCTGAGTTGTGTCAGGGTCACGCGAGTCTCTCGAGGCAGCTCGAGCTCGTTGTCTGCTATAGGTGGTGGTATTTCTCCGAGTCCGCCATTCACTGGAAGGGAGTCCTTGAAGGTGTTGACTCACTGCTGGTGAATGGCGTTCAGTGCTTATCGGTACACCGTCCTGTCCAGCGGTTGTTGTACGTAGCATCCCAATAGGAACTGCTTGCACAGCAAAGCATAGATGCTTCCCTGTGCAAGTGATGCTCCGGCGACATCAGGAGGTTTCCTGTCGCGGTTCTGAGGACCATGTTCTGGCAAGCCTGTAACTTCTTCATCTGCGTCTCGTTCGTCCCGGGCGCCCAGATCGGTGCAGCATAGTTTACGACCGACCGGCCAATTGCTTTATTAGTAGCCAGAAAAGTTTCTTTGTCTTTACCCCAGGTGCTGCCGGCTAGCGCTTTGAGTATTTTGTTGCGGCTCTGGAGTTTCGCGGCAATTGCGGTCGTATGTGGAGTGAAGGAGTGCAGGCTGTCCAGGGCTACTCCCAATATTTTTGGGTTATTTACCGTCGGAATTTTTGTGTCATCGACCTTCACATCTAGTTCAAGCATGTAGTCCTTCGTCCAGGTGGTGAAGAAAATAGCCGAGGATATCGTCGGTTGAATTTGTTGTTGTCTTGCAGTGAAGAAGTGGGAGAGATCAGCGAGGTAGTCGTTTACTTTCGAACAGAGGTCATCAATATTCTGGCCAGACGCCATTATCCTACAATCATCGGCATAAGAAGTTAGGGAAACTCCTTCTGGTGGTGGAGAGAGTTTCGAGATGTAAAAGTTAAACCGTAACGGGGAGAGGACACCACCCTGCGGAGCCCCTTGTTTAATTTTTCTGGATTTAGATGTTACATCTGGGAAATTACCGATGATTGTCGACCACTCAGGTAGACCATGACCCACCTCTGCAACCCCGGCGGTAATGAGGATTCCTTAATGTCCGTTAGTAGCACTGAGGGATTGACCGTGTCAAAAGCTTTTGACAAGTCCAGTGCTACTAGGACAGTTTGCGCGCAGGGTCGGTTTTGGTTGCGGCCATGGATTATCTGGGTGTTTATGGCGTTAAGTGCTGTTGTGGTGCTGTGTACTTTTCGGAAGCCATGCTGATGCGCTGCTGGACGCAGATGTTGAGTGAAGGTCGGGTGCAGTAAAACCTCAAGTGTCTTCGCTACTGGGGAGAGGAGAGTTATCGGCCGATAGGACTCTCCTTTGTTGGCTGATTTCCCCGGTTTAAGTAGCGGGACCGCCCTACCCATTTTCTACACATCGGGTATCTTCAGGGTGGTCAGAGACAAATTGAGGACCCTCGTGAGAAATTCTGCTCCCGCTGGTCCAAGGTGTTTCAGCATCATCATGCTTATTCCGTCGCGGCCTATGGATTTGGAGGCTTTCGCCTTCCCGTTAACCCCCTGAACCTCCTTCCTGGGATGCAGTGTGAAGAGTCGGCTAAAATAGCTCGCGCATATCTTCGGGTCCGACGAGGCGCGATCACCGAATGAAATTTCCACCCGGTCATCGCGTCTCGTCAATTTAGGCAGCGACTTAACTGTAGCCCAGAGCTTGGTTGACCCTGCGGAATAAACGTTCACCAGTAGTGACGTCTGATGGAGTGGGAAGAGCACTAACGGCGTTCTCGGTAAATTCCGTGAATCCAGGCCAGTTAGCTTTTTTGAAGTTAACAGATGTTCGGTGGTCCCCGGAAAAAAAATCGGGAGGCCTGTCAATCGAGATTTGTATGGGCAAGTGGTCCGATGCTAATGTCAGTATAGGTCCCCAGACTATACTGTTTATCAGACCAGCACTCGCAAATGTTATGTCTGGCAAGTTTTGGCAATTACCGATAACTCTGGTGGGAGTTTTATCGTTCATTGTGCATGTATGTCGAATCGTCCATCTGTTCTGCCAGCTCCATTCCTCTACGGTCATTTGACAGGCTAGAATGCCAAAGATCGTGATGCTCGTTGAAGTCGCCCAAAACCAAACGGTTTTCCCCCCTGAGTAGCGCACCTATGTCAGGGGTGTGGAGGTATGTATATATTGAATATTTCGAGCTCGACATCGCCTAACCGGATAGCTATGCCCTGACATTCTAGGGTAGTATCCCTGCGGTCGATGTCGCCATCGATAAGACGATACTGCACGGTGTTGTGCAGGATGAACGCTAAACCCCCACCGTGGTCTCGCTCGCGATCCTTGCGGATTATGTTGTATCCGGACCGTCTCAGAAGATCTGATCGGGCGGTCAATTTGGTTTCTTGGATCGCAGCAATTGACAGGTGCTCCCGGCTCATGTTGTCAATTATCTCGTCAATCTTTCCCTGGAGTCTGTAACAATTAAATTGTAGGAGTCGGGGCTGTCTCGGGGGAACGTTCGTGATTCGGGAGGTGAGGGAGTGATGCGTGGATGGTGTGTGCTGGTTCCGCACGTTGGTGTTAGCTGGCGGAGGGTTTTTCGAAACATGCGGGAGCAGACTCCTACAGCACGGGGCAGCATGCGCATTGCTCCACTCACGGGTGGTGCGCAGGCCAGAGCACTTCCGAAAGTGACACCAGCCAGAGCAAAGGTTGCTACTGACTGAGGTCACGTTCCGACGCACTATGGTCTGACACACGGAACTGACAGTGCAGGGGACTAGGAGCTGCTGGGTAGCCCTCGCACGAGGGGAGGATAAGGAGCTGGTTGTGGGTAAGGATGGGGGTGGAGGTTGGAGGGAATCATGCTGCGGAGAGCTCCGTGAGACCGTGGAGGTCTGCTGATTACCCTGATTGGGTAAAGGTGCTGAAGGCACTGCCGTGGAGGCTGGGGGGGCAGTTGGACGCTGGCAGCATGGGGCCACATAACTCGTGGTCCATTCCCTGTGAGTCCTAAGGCCTGAGCAGGTCTTAAGATGACTCCAATCATTGCACTGGGTGCATCTAACCGAGGTGGAGGAATGGTGGAGTCTTCTGTGACACACGCAGCAGAAATAGTCCGTCGGTCCAGGGTTGATTTCTACACCATTTCGCGCACATGCTTCGTAGTTATTTATAAAATCTTTAACCATTTGTCTCATGCTTTTCCAAATTTATCGTTGTTTTAACATTAATATTGTCTTTCTAACTGCTAAATGTCCTGCTGTGTTACTTGAGTGAGTGTTCAAAGAACTACAGTGGCTCAAAAATGAACTCGGACACACAAGTTATATGACTTCAAACAAAAATATATTTAATAAAATGCAATTTGAAGGCTTTCTGCTTACCATATATTTCTATTCTTTAAATGTATTTTTCAAAACGACCAAAACCATAAACTAAATTCAACTCGGTCGTATAAAAATAATATGAACATAGCAACTTAACAAAACTGATAACAATAAATATCTCGGACGTATACATAACATAGAATTTAAAAATATTATTTAAAGAGAAACAAAATATTCTTAATATTTAGTCGGCAAGCCTCAACTTTTTCTGTAGCATTCAGTCTACTTGGCAAAGATTCAACTAGCTTCTTGCATTTTAAAGAATTTAATTTTCCCCCACTCCTCCAAAATAACGACTTCTAGGTCGTTCTTATTTCTAATAACATACATTTTCAGTTTATTTTCCAAATGAGCCCACAGATGTTCAATTACGTTAATGTTAGAAGATTGAGGAGGTGTTTCAAGCACTTTAGGACAGTTATACATCATCCATAGACAGACATCAAGTGCTTTATGCTTGGGATCGTTGTCTTGGTAGTACTGGAAGTTGTCTTTAATTCCCAACTTTTCCGCACTTTGCACTGAAACACAAATTTCCAGTACTAGCTGCGGACATACCACCGCATACCATTAATGAGCCGCCCCGTGTTTAACAGTCCGACGTAAAATCTTTTCTAGCAACTTTTCATTCAATTTTCTCCAAACATAAAACTGTCCGTCTGACCTAAAAGTATTAAATTTTCTTTCATCTGCAAATAAAACTTGTTTCCAGAATTGAAAATCCTTATCCCCATAACATTTTGCTAATTGATCCTCTTGTTTCGGTTAACCTCGTTTATGAATGGGATCTTCCGTTCTACTCTTCCATTATATTTATTTTTTCGTAAGACTATTCGGATACTCTCCGGACTACAATTTATGTTGAGATGCTGCAAAACTTCGGATGAGAGCTTGGATTTTTGATCATGTTTGGATTTTTTTTTTAAATTGCGTCGTCCAGACTTCTTTTTGTTGTCCACGGATTTTGTTTGTTTGAATCGTTAAATCACGTCATGCGCATTAGAGCGGGTATGCTCACAATTTCTGCGATTTACGAATCGTTTTTCCTATTTCAAAATGACTAATGATTAACTTCCTTACTTCAATTGAGCTTTGTCCACGCTATCTACCCATGTTTAAACTTTTCACCACTAATTGTGGAATCCCCCTTTTTAAAATGCCAGGAAACTTTAATATTACCAGATGTCCGACTTCTTTTTTTGGGAAATTTCTAGCATGCCACATGTTAATTTTTTGCATTAAGGGTATAGGAGACCTATGAACTATTTAATTTGTTTGTTATTGGTTTTATTGAATTGGTATTATTGAATACCCTATAGAAACATATAAAACAAAAATGCTTAATATCAATTGGTTAAAAAAAAATATAGCTTGAAGTTGCATGTTAATAACAGTGGAATGTATGTCCGAGTTCTTTATTGAGCCTTTATTTTAATCTTTTTAGGTTAAGAAACCGCGGTGCTTGATTTCTCCTGGGAAGAGTCTCAGGGGATCATCTGGGGGCAGTGCTCATAGTATTCTCTAGCCGCTCATAAAAGGCGTCTTTGTCCAAATCGTCATTCTTTCCGTTGGGGATGGGCGCAAATCAACGATATGTTGAAAAATTTCGCTTTGATGCGGATTGTGGGGAGACGATCTTCCACCGGGGTGATTGCCAATACTCGACGACGGAGTCTCTATCCCACTACAAACTCAACATCAAATTCCCGCTCCGTTATATGGCCGCTGTAGCAAATGTCACTAGAACCTACTCGCTTTCGTCCTTGTCCCGTCCATCACACTTTTTTGACGGCGGTGATATCAGCCTTTATTCTTACGAGGACATCAATCATTTTAGGGGCATGCCCTCAAATCGTGATCCTTAAATCGTTTCCAGAGATCGTTAATAGAAAGGGGGTATCTCATCCGAGGTGTTGCTAATTTTTTCATTGGAGCTGGTTTCTACGTGGCGGGTCCCAGCATACCCAGAAGCTTGGTTGAACCCCATATATAACATATACTAAATATAGCCCAAAATAATCAGTAGCTAAGGAATCGTCCGCCCTTACGATTAATTAATGACTTTATAGATAAAAATTCTTAAACAATTTTTTGTATTATTTCTTTCCAGAGAATTTTTGGTTTAGCTTTGAAATATTTCCACGTGCTCAGCTAGAGTGTTATAATTGTCATTACTTTTAATGTGTGACTTTCAGTCAAGTAAAATTGTTTGAAGAATCAACACACGATACAGTATTTTTTAGTATGGACAAGAAAATGTCGTCATCATCACAGCCCCGGATTTTAAAAAAGAAGCATTTCCGCGTTAAGCATCAAAAAGTTAAGCTTTTCCGAGCAAATGAACCGATTTTAAGCGTGTTTATGTGGGGTATAAATTATACGGTAAGAAGAAAAATCAATTCTTATTCAATTATATAAGATAAACCGATGTTTGATTATGATTGTAGATAAATGAACTGAGTCATGTCAATATTCCTGTAATGCTTTTGCCTGATGACTTTCGAGCATATTCGAAAACTAAAGTTGATAATCAGCTTTTTAACAAGTATGTACATGAATAAACTTATGCATTATATTTTTATAAATTAAGTAATATTGCTATAATTAAGTTACTACATAGAATTGAAACTGCAAAAGAATTGAAACGCTATGCATGTGTAGATATCTTTACTTTACTGACGTAGACATCACTTACACGATTACATCCGATTTAAAACAGTGCGCTTTTCGTTTCTTCTTTTTGCTGTTTGACGCTAATTGGAAATACCAAGTACAATCAGGTCCTTCTTTACCTGGTCTTTCCAACGAAGTGGAAGTCTTGTTGTTATTGTAGCGGAAGTCTTACTCTGCCTCTGCTCCCACTGGCGGGTACTGCATCGAAAACTTTCAAAGCTGGAGTATTCGCATCTATACGAATCACATGACCTAGCCAGCGTAGTCGCTGCTTCTTGATTCGCTTATCTATATTAATCTCGCCGTATAACTCTTACAGCTCATCGTTCCATCGTCTGCGGTATTCACCGTTGCCAAATCGCAAAGGACCATAAATTTTACGCAATTCTTTTTTCTACAAAATTCCTAGCGCTGTCTCATCAGATACTGTCATCGTCCATGCTTCAGCACCATAGGACGGGAACGATGAGGGACTTGAAAAGTTTGGTTTTCGTTCGGCGGGAGAGAACTTTACTTTTCGATTGCCTACTCAGTCCTAAGTAACACATGTTGGCAAGGGTAATTCTGCGTTGGATTTCAAGACTGACGTTATTATTGGTGTTAATGCAAGTTCTTAGATAGACGAAATTATCTATGACTTCAAAATTATGACTGTCAACAGTGACATGGGAGCCAAGTTGCGAATGCAATGACTGTTTCTTTGACGACAAAAGATATTTCATCTTATCCTCGTTCACCACCAGACCAAATTCGCTTCGCTTCTATATCAAGCGTTGAGAAAACAGAACTAACGGCGCGGTTATTGAGTCCCTGACAGACATAGCGGTGCAAACGCAGCTCGTATTCATACTGTCGAAGGCTGCTTTAAAATTGACGGAGAGGTTGTGTGTGTGGATCTCTTCCAAGATTTGATTTCGAACTTCTTCGCAGTAAGGTAATGGAACGTCTTTTCCATCGTCGTCGATTGGGGTTTCGAGATCACCATCTTCGGATTCTCCATTTTCACTGCTATTTAGCAGGCAGGATAAGTGTTCACTCCATAAGTTCAATATACTCTGCGTATCAGTGGCTAGATTACCTCCCTGGCTCCTGCAAGTGTTTCCTCCGGTCTGAAACCTTCACGTCAAGAACACCGGAGGCGCGTCTTCCGTCTATCACAACTTGATCGATCTGGTTTTGTATTTTTCGATCCGGGGACAGCCAGATAGCTTGATGTATTTTTTTGTGCTGGAATCTAGTACTACAGACAACCATATTTCGGGTCCCGGTGAAGTCGATGAGCTTCAACCCATTGGGGAATGTTTTGTTGTGAAGGCTGAATTGTCCAACAGTCGTACAAAAGATTTCTTCTTTGCCCACCCTGGTATTAAAATCGCCAGGCGCGATTTCACATCGTTTCGGCTGCAGCGCTCATAAGTATGCTCTAGGCGCTATTAAAAGGCATCTTTGCGTAGGCGTAAATCAACGACATGTTAAAAATTTTCGTTTTGATGCAGATTGTGGGGAGACGCTCATCCACCGGGATGAATGCCAATACTCGACGACCACAAACTCAACTTGTAGTAAATGTCAAAAGAACTTACTAAACTAAACACGTTGGAGAGTACATTTAAGTAGAGTGAATAGTGCAAGTTGATGATAGTGATTGTAAATAGTAGAGTGTATTGTAATTGTATTGTGAATTACGGAGTAAATAAAAGACATTAGATAAATTCTTTGTAACGAAAGAAACTGCAAATTAAGTTGGTGAGTTTTATTTAACAATCCAGAGATCGTACCCGAAGGATTTGGAAAATAATCGAGGTTGATTTAGTAAAAATCGTAACAATTGGTGTCAGAAGTGGGATTGTTAAATAAATCCCAAAGGATAATATTTGCAACATGGTAAAGATACAGGATTTGACGATACCCCTTCTCAAGAGGGAGTTGGCAAAGCGAGGATTGTCGACTACTGGGAATAAGGCTGAGCTGCAATCGAGAATGCGAGAAGCAATGGCATTTGAAGGCATCGACTTGAACCAGTACGATTTCCACCGCGAGGATGAAAATGCATCCTTGAAGGACATTGAAAAGGAAGAGCCTGATGATTCTGTGAAGGAATTAGAATCACCGTCAAGTAAGATTCAAGAAAAGGCTCCTGGCTCATCTAAGGGTATTGACATGAACCTGTTATTGACTGCGATCTCACAAAATATGTCTCAAATGATGGCTGCACAGGAAGCCAGCATTTCACAAAAGTTGGATGCACAGGACACA